GGGGCAAGGGCAGAGGTGTGGGTGTTTTTTTGTCTTTTTTTTTTTTTTGCGCTTTCCACTGGAAAGTCTGAAATGCCCCCTCACCAATTGTCTTCGGGTCAGAGTAATGGGGATGGTAGCTGGGGTACTAAACGTGTCACAATCGAATGTATAGGGTGGCCAATGTGAGCCATTGACGGCACCATGCTATTTAAACAGGTAGTATAGCCAGGTATGAGAGAAAGTGTGTGCCCATCCTGTATTGTTGTGACGTTGGGGACAAGTACCTGGTATTCAGAGATCGTAGTATGAGACGTTAAATGAATAGAAAGCAGGATACAAGTTTCGTTTGCAGTCAGTGCAATCTGGGCAGGCAGGAATTGTGTCAGACGGTAGGAACGATTCTTGTGCGTATTTTTTTTAAAATATAAACAAACATAAGAATACGTGACCAAATAAATTCTGGATGACGTCATGTTTCTTCTGAAGAATGTTCACATATGTGGAAAATGTTGCAACGCAGTTTTGACCATGTTCTAAACTAAAGAACTTGACGCCTTGTCTGGTGAACACTTAGAACATCTATCGATAGCAAGCAGGTGCTACTGATAACTACCTCAAGTAAAGAAAATTGCGAGTACAATTCAAAGCAAAAGATATAATTAAAATGATCTACAGTTTCATTTCTCTTTATTTTATTTATATTCTTGATGAGCCACTAATGCTGTTGGATATATAACTCTTTTTATGTGTAATGCAAAGTAATATAATTATTAATAATATGAATAATTTTCCAAAAAGTCAGCCAAAAAAAATAATTCTTTTGAGATGTAATTTGCGGGCCTCTGATTCGTGGAAATAAAATTGTTGCCCTCGTGCCACGTCGCCCACGTTGTCAAAAACGATGGACGCCCCTGCCCCAGCAAAACCCTAGGACTGACCCAACAATGGAGGGACAGATGTCAATAATTAAAAATTAATGATCCCCATTTTCAATTATTAAAAAGGGGGAATCACTCTATATAATTTTTTTCGTGAATTTTCATTTCCGTTAGTTTTTGTCAGGTTACGAAAATATTTATATACACTAGTATTTTTTAGTTTATATCAGGTCATCAATCGCAGGGAACTGTATTCACAATGACAATGGTTTTCAGTGTTATAAGAAAGTTGGTATTAAGACCCACGATTGCTATATCCTTTCAAAAGACTTGTATGCGCTGTTTGTCCACAAGGTTAGTGTTAAAATTGCACAGCGGAGTTCAGTTAGTAATTAATATTGCCATTGCCTCAGTCGACAGGAATGGTTTTGACCAACCAAAGTCAAAGTCTTGCCTTTTCAGATTGAGAATATCTTCCATGCCCTAATAAATTCAACAGTTCCGAGCCTGCTCTATCTAACAGAACTCAACTCTTGGCATTGGTCTTGGTAGTAACATAATTATTCATTAGGCCCCTATATTTTTTATTCTGAACTGAACATATATAAGTAAGTATAAGAAGTTAAGGCCTAATTTATGAAATGTACTGGTACCAAAGAACCAACATGGTTGCTATCTCAAAGAACAAGATCAAATATTTTTTATTTCATGCCTAAAATCCTTCATTACAAATTGTTCATCATTTTTATTTTTATGTCATGTTCAAAGGAAATTCCTGAATAGAGGAATGACTGGAAACTAAAAGTTCATCTTAATTAAACTCAATAATTTCTTGATTTTAGGCAAGGAAGGAAAAAAAAAAAGTTGAATGAAATTAATTGAAAATATTTTTTTTATATTTTTTGCAGCTGTGCTACAATTTTTAAACCACTTTCATTTGCTTGAAAGATGATGGTAAACTTTGGGTTGCTTTTTTAGATATAGAACCAAATACAAAACAGCAATGTGATTGGTTGATTGATTTTGATATTTATATCGCGCTGGTATCCATGCCAATTTAGCATGCTCACTGGGCTCTGGTTTTCCGAAATCTATTTAAACAAAAAAGTTTTTAAAGGTTTCTTAAATGATTTTTTATCATTTTCAATGCCGCTCAAAGATTGAGGCAAACTGTTCCATAAATTTGGCGCTAGTGCTTCAAAAAGCGCACTCCGTAAGACTTTTTTTCTGTGTTCATCCACACTAGGAACTCTCAGTAAGTACTGTGTTGAAGACCGCAGGCTCTTAAAGGATACATGTTTATAAATCAGTTCTTTGAGATATTCCTGTGCTGAGCCATCTATGCAGCTGTATGCCAGGGACAGAATTTTGTAGTTAATGTGCTCACTCACAGGAACCCAATGGAGATCTCGTAGAACAATCAAACATGCTAAAATATCACATACAGTGTACATTACAATTAACTATTAATTATTATTTTATTCCCTTTGTGCTGAGTTAATTTATGCTTCTGCAAACATTTTCTTTTATTGTGATATTGGTGCTGATTTTTTAATGTTTATAAATGTTAACTTTATTATGTAGTTGATAAAACAAATTCTTCTTGCCTGTGTTAATATCCATTACGTAGTTTGGAACTAAAATATTTTTTGCATGATTTTACTTGTGTTGTGCCACATTATTCTAGGAGACTAGCTGTACTGCGGGAGAAAAAAGGTTTCTGTGGGATAAAAAATGGTTGGGTTAATGTATAGTACTGATGGGCATTTTGGGCATCACCACATATAACAAGTTATAAGATTATTGGGGGAAAGACAAAGTATAGGAAACAACAGAAGTCATAATTTATTCCTAAGATGGTAATCATCAAAGGGAGGCATTTGAGAGACTCATCTTTTATTGACTGTATTGATGAATGGGATCAAATATAAAATGCCAGCAACTAAGGCTCAATCAGTGACTCATATTGGTTTTTAAAAAAAAAAAATTCATTTCTCAGTCATGAAATTTAATAGCTGTTGACTTGAACTCCTGGTGAAGGATATGGATATTAGCAGATGGGGGGGGGGGGGGTTGCTTGCTTGGAGCAACTCAATAACACATATTGATTTACATAATAAAAAATTCATTTCTCAGTCATGAAATTTAATAGCTGTTGACTTGAACTCCTGGTGAAGGATATGGATATTAGCAGATGGGGGGGGGGGGTTGCTTGCTTGGAGCAACTCAATAACACATATTGATTTACATAATTTTAAGCCAACCATGGCGTTAACCCTCTTTGCATAGCCTAGTTAGGACATTGTGGTTGTAAAAGAGTTCACTGAGGGGCACCCGCATGGCTAAATCCAGCACTTTCTGCTTACTATTATTATTATTATTAAAAGAAGTCCTAGAACTATGGGCCCTAATTAAGTAATATAGGCCTGAAAGGAAGATAGTTTAAAAGATTTTTTGAAACCACTAACACACAATCATATAGTCTTACCAAAACTGACAATCATACAGTTTTACCATACCTTACACACAATCATACAGTGTTACTGAAGTGCTAATAATGATTGATGAAATAATTAATGATTGGCTTAGTAAACAAAATTTACTACATCAATTAAAGTTTAAGCTAGACTGATTTTTATTCCACATTTAATTTTGATCCCTATAGCTTAAAAAATGAGGATTGATAAGTTACAAGTACAATAGGCACTACTATCCTGCCAAATTCAATTTCACTTCTCCCTGTGTTTTTGTCAGTTTGCTCATCCAAGGGTTCCTCATGGTTATTTTTTCCTATGTTTATTACTTTTTACATTTCTTTATTATATTATTGATTATTGCTTTTAGATGCCTATCCGCTATTACGGCACAACACATGTCTTTTAATTTACGTGTCTAATTATAGGCTTGCTGAGGTTGGTATCCTTGAACCACCAAAGGAACATGGGAAAGCATATGATACTGGGCAGGTATGAATTTTTGTTTTTAAGCTTCTGAAAAATTGTTCCTTTATATTGTGATAAGAAAAGTTTAGGCTGAAGTTTAAAGTTAAATAGTTTTTATTAAGGGTACAAAGAGTTTATAGGAAATATTACAATGAGTTGTAAGTCATTAAACGTCATTTCTTAGAAGAGGTCCAAAGCAGCAATAGCCCATATAATTCCTTCAAGAAATTGCTTGTTATTCCATTAAATAATTTTTTAAAATAATTATTTAATGTTTTGTTTGAATCAGTTGGTTAAAAAATACTTTTTAGCATATGTTTTATATATAAAATGACATTTTTTTAGAAGGATGAAATAAATAACACTGTCAATTTTTTATCCAAGGAGAAATGGGGAAGAAAATAAATTGAGTCTACCAGAAACAATGGAGCAAATATTTTGAAAAAAACGTTGTTTATTAATATCTTGTCATTAAACAAGATATGTTACCCATAGCAATTTATTTGGAGATAAAATATACAACTCAAAAACAAATGAAGAAGATAAGAGGTAATCATTTTAAGATGAAATCTAGATCTTGTACTCTCACCATTTCAACATTTAATTGATTCACTTTGTTTCTCCATCTAGTTATTTCTTCATAAAATATTTGGTTATAGAGGAATAGTACTGTTTCCCTGGCTAGCCCATGTCTATGATCGTGATACTGCGGCCAAAACAGATGACAGGTAAAAAGAATTCTTTTATGCTCATTAGTTATAATTTTTTTAAAGTTTCATAAATATTTCAGAAAGGAAAAGTTGAAGGACATGAAATATGTACTGTGTTGACAAGTATTTATTTTACTTTCATGAGCCATAAAAATATGTTGATTAAGACAGGTTATGAATCCTGCAGCTATATAAATAATTCCCATGAAATTAATTCCTCAGCAGTGAATGTTGAAACGATGTGTTTTTGGGTAGTTCTTAAATGTGATTTTTAGTGTCAGGATATTACTTTCTTTAAGGTAACATTTTTTTAACAGGAAATGTCCAGAGCCAGCTTATGACCATCTTTTAAAAAAAAAATTATTAATATATGGTTATGTTATGTTGTTTGGCATTCACATGTCAGGATGATCAATGCTATATTCTTTGTGAATATGCAGCTGGCCTGCTATTCCTAACTATGTCAAGAAAGTGCTCTTGCGCGTGGGACACACATTGTTTTGATTCCGAGTTGAATTTGAGTCAATTCTGCTTTTCCTATGCTGTGTGCTTTCTTAGTTGGCCAATGGTTGCTATTTACTTCTCCTTAGAACTTTGGATGATCAGAACACGGCAGTGGGGAAAGAAGTGAAAGGAAAGAATCATATGTACTATCAGGTTCTGATTGATGCCCGAGACTGCCCACACATTGTACGTTGTAGCATCTTTTTAGTGCCATCCACATAGTTTTAAAGTTTTTACATCTTTTTATAACTGCTTACACATTTTAAGTTATATCAGCAATTTATGACTGTCTACGTAATATTAAGTTACATCATCTTTGTATTGCATCCATTCATAAATTTCCACTCAGTTTTAGTTATATCATCCATTTATACTCTGATCTCATTGTAAGTTAAATCATCCATTTAGGACTGTCCACTCCTTGTTAGTTTAAAAGAAACAACGACTGTATGAGTAATATATTATTTTATTATTACTCATATCTGTTGATTTTATCAATGTAAAGAAAGGATATAAAGTATGTGCTCATGTTTAATAACTGGTTAAGCTTTTCTTTTTGAAAGAGAGCTCAAACAGAAGCAGTGACTTTCCTTGGCAATCAGGATAACAGTAGGGCTTTGTATGCTATTCCTGGTGAGTTCTTGTTATTGATTCACTTCCTTTTTTAAGTCCTCAAAACCTTTTTTTCTTTTCTTTTTTGACGTTCAGTACCGGTACACTTCTCTTTTCACATTGACGTTCAGTACCGGTACACTTCTCTTCTCACATTGACGTTCAGTACCGGTACACTTCTCTTCTCACATTGACGTTCAGTACCGGTACACTTCTCTTCTCACATTGACGTTCAGTACCGGTACACTTCTCTTCTCACATTGACGTTCAGTACCGGTACACTTCTCTTCTCACATTGACGTTCAGTACCGGTACACTTCTCTTCTCACATTGACGTTCAGTACCGGTACACTTCTCTTCTCACATTGACGTTCAGTACCGGTACACTTCTCTTTTCACATTGACGTTCAGTACCGGTACACTTCTCTTTTCACATTGACGTTCAGTACCGGTACACTTCTCTTTTCACATTGACGTTCAGTACCGGTACACTTCTCTTTTCACATTGACGTTCAGTACCGGTACACTTCTCTTTTCACATTGACGTTCAGTACCGGTACACTTCTCTTTTCACATTGACGTTCAGTACCGGTACACTTCTCTTTTCACATTGACGTTCAGTACCGGTACACTTCTCTTTTCACATTGACGTTCAGTACCGGTACACTTCTCTTTTCACATTGACGTTCAGTACCGGTACACTTCTCTTTTCACATTGACGTTCAGTACCGGTACACTTCTCTTTTCACATTGACGTTCAGTACCGGTACACTTCTCTTTTCACATTGACGTTCAGTACCGGTACACTTCTCTTTTCACATTGACGTTCAGTACCGGTACACTTCTCTTTTCACATTGACGTTCAGTACCGGTACACTTCTCTTTTCACATTGACGTTCAGTACCGGTACACTTCTCTTTTCACATTGACGTTCAGTACCGGTACACTTCTCTTTTCACATTGACGTTCAGTACCGGTACACTTCTCTTTTCACATTGACGTTCAGTACCGGTACACTTCTCTTTTCACATTGAAGTTCAGTACCGGTACACTTCTCTTTTCACATTGAAGTTCAGTACCGGTACACTTCTCTTTTCACATTGAAGTTCAGTACCGGTACACTTCTCTTTTCACATTGGATTAGATTTAAACTAAAAATGGAGGCTTATCTTGTTAAATTATTTTATTAAGTTATTGGTGTTAAAAAAAAAATATATTGTGCTTAATGTTTATTATTGATTGATTAGTGGTCAAAAATTCTAGAAAATAATATTTTAACATTTTGTAATTTATTTTTGAGAATAGTTCTTTAAATTATTGTTTTTAAACTTATGTTATAATTCTGAGATATGTATTGCAGGGCTTGACTATGTGGCCCATGAAGATATTCTACCTTATACCAGTCCTGAAAGCACTCCTATACAACACGAGCTTTTTGACAAATTTCTGCTACATGAACCTGAAAATAGTAAGAATGCTTTTTCTAATGAACTAATGAAATGCCCAAACAAAGCTTAAATTGGATTTATCAAGTCTAAAATTTTTTTTTTTTTTAAAAATACTTTTTATTTGTTCTAGATTTTCTTTGAATGAGTACAAGACAGACTATACTGGGGGATTTGATAAGTCTAGTGAGAAGGTCGAGTGTTTTGGTGGGACTTGTAAGAAATGGGGATTGATGTCAAAAAAATAAGCTGACCATTTCAATATTTCTTTGATTTCAGATCCACCATTTGTTGCTCGTGAAACTTTGGGAGCATGGCAAGAAAAAAACCATCCCTGGCTTCAGTTGTCTGACGTCCATCGAGAAACCACAGAGGGAATTCGTGTTACTGTCACACCCTTTTACATGGGTTGTAGGGTCAGTTAGCCTTTCATATAGGTTATAGTGTAAATAAGACTTTTTACATAGGAGAGTAGTACTTCATTGTTTATAAGCTAAGATGAGGTACGCGTACATCTTAGGGTTTGGAGGGAAAAATGGGTTAGCATAAGATGTTTTCACATTTTATGGTTCTTTTCTGTGACTTATTTTATTAAAATTGAAGAAATAATTTTGCAAACATAAAGTCCTTTCAATTATATTTCATTTGATACTAAGTTTAGTCTTATAAACCAAAGAATAATATTTTAAAATTTTTTAATAAACCCAACCTCTCACTCGTTTTTGCTCTTCGGAAAATATGTACATTTTTTCTCATGGCGCTCAATGAAGCTCGTCGGAAGGCCTTGTGTTGGTAAACCCGGTGTTCGTGAACCGTATGACGGGCTGTGTCCGTGGAACAGGAGGCTGACCGGGGTTACCTTCCAGGCACTATATTAACCACTGTGACAAACTTTGAGAGTACAAAAGAAGAAGAAGCGGCGTACCGCATCGGCCAGAGCCAGTAGCTGTCGGAAGCTAATTTGGCGACTCGAGCATATGCGGCATACCGCTTCATCCAGCACCAGCAGCCGTGACTCTGGTGCCAGCAGCCACTTTGGCACGTCAGAATATGCAGCGTACCGCAACGTCCAGTGCCAATAGCCATAACTTTGGTGCCAGCAACCTCAATATACCAGACAAAATTTGCAAAATAAGGAACTAAAGTAGTTTTGCCTTATACTTTCAGGAATAAAGACCTAAGAAGAATGAATGATAGTGCCCAACTTCCACAAAAGGGTAGAAAAGGGAAAAGGAATGAAAAAGATAGAAAAAAGAAAAGGCGAGAAAAAATAGCAAAACTTGAACGTTTAGTAAAAACAGCAGATACAGAAGAAGAGTGGTCAGCAAAGAAATGGCTGGAGGTAGCGCACTACCTAGATAAAAAGAAGAAAATGAATAGTGACTCATCAGACAATGACATGAGTAAAAATAGAGAAGAAGAAACTGAGGCACACAGCTTAATTTACCTGCAACTAAATTCTAATGGCCTATGGCCTAAGGAGAGTGAAATTACAGAACTCCTAAAAGAAGAAAACGTTGATGTAGACGTAGTTCAAGAGGCACGCCTCAAGACAAAAAGCATCAACATTGAAAAAAAAATACATCACCTACACATGTACATGTGTAAAATGCAACGGACCAGTAACACTAGTCAAAGATAGCCTAACATTCCGTAGGCTCGAAAACAAGTGGAGGAAGCCAAACACAGGTTAAATAAATCTACAGGTGTGGAAAAATGGCGTTCCATTCTTCATAACAAATCTCTACTCCCCCACCAAAAATGAAAATTGATCTCGACACACAGCAAACGAGCTATGTCCGAACAATTATTGGAGGGGATTTAAACGGCCTGTCCTCCCAATGGGGTTACAAGCAATCGAACACAACGGGAAAAAATATTATAGAACTTTGTAACGCTTCCAACCTCAAGATTATGCAGAGTAATCTAATAGCCCAGACTTGCTTCCATTCGAGTAATGGTAGCACTTTTAGGCCGGACTTAACTGTAATCTCCAGTGATTAAATGGAGAAATGCACAATGAGAATACTGAAGGATGTGGTTAGCGATCACCTACCAATACTCCTGACAATAGGGAAAAAGATGGTAAACCAGGTCAGCTCCCAACCTGCCGCCTGGAAAAACCAAAGTGCAAATTGGCAAAAATTGACTAACTTGACTAGTGGCAGGAACATGTCCAGAGGGATTAAAACAGGTACGATCAGCCAAAAGTCCTGAAAATGGTGGGAAATGCTTATAAAAGTGGCAAAAAGAGCAATTCTCGTAAGAAATGTGAAGTATAAAAAAGGTCCTTTCAAAGATAAAGAACTCTGCAACCTAACAAAACAACGCCAGCAGGCGAGAAGGCGTGCACAAAAGTCTGAAAATGCAAGGAACCAATACACTGTGCTAACTAGAAAGATAAAAAAAGCTGGCGGTACGTCTCAAAAGAGAGACTTGGGTAAAAATATGTCAGAACCTTAAATTAGTTAAAGACTCTGCAAAAGCATGGAACCTATTAAAGGCCCTGACAGGTGAAAAGCTATGACTCAACCCAAGTCCCATTTTCTCATTGAACGGTAGATTAGCTACAACTGGCAAAGATAGAGCCCAAGCTCTAAACATGCACTTTGCAGAAACAAACAAGTTCAAACGATGGACTAATTGACAGGGAATGGATAGGTTTAGAAAAGGAGATTGAAATTGATGAATCGTCAATCATGTCGTCCCCTTTCACGCCAAGTGAATTCGAAATCGCTTGTAGAAAATTCAAGAATGACACTGCTGGTGGCCCGGACGAAATAACGAATAATATATTAAACAAGCTGGGTCCGAAGGCTAAAAAAGCCCTCCTCCAAATCAAGTGAGTTCTGGGACGAAGGCGGAGTCCCAGACCAATGGAGAGCCGCAAAGATCACTGCATTACTTAAAAAGGGCAAACCAGCTGAAGAACTCACCAGCTACCGCCCAGTGTCCCTTACATCCTGCGCAGGGAAAATTGCACAATGCATGGTCAACAGGGGCCTATATTGGTTCATGGAAAGAGGAAAAAAGATGACAAGAGCCAATGTGGGTTTAGGAAAAATAGACAAGCCTCAGACCAAGTAGTGAGATTTACCCAGAGCATAATAAATGGCTTCCAAAATAAAGAAGTACGGTTGGAATTTTCCTAGACGTGACCCAGGCTTAAGGCAAAGTCTGGAGGTCAGGTCTCAAACTCAAAATGCTGAAAATGGGCATTACAGGAAAACTATACCTGTGGGTCAGCAATTTCCTTGAACACAGAAAAATCTGTACAAAATTTGGGTTACAAATCTGTAGCAGAGAGGAGCTTGCAAAAGGCCTGCCTCAAGGCTCTGCATTGAGCTGCCTCCTTTTCCTCATATACATTAATGATCTGGCGGATCTAGTGCAGTCCGAGATAGCACTATTTGCGGACGACATCACATTGTGGCGGACTGGAAAGGATGTGGAGGAGCTGGCCAACCTCTTGCAGGAAGATATGAATAGAATCCTGCGCTATACCAAAACTTGGAAGTTGGAACTCAATGTCTCAAATCAACGTCCACCCTGTTGACTCTGTCCACCCTGTTGACTCTGTCCACCCTGTTGACTCTGTCCACCCTGTTGACTCTGTCCACCCTGTTGACTCTGTCCACCCTGTTGACTCTGTTCAGGCAGGGATGGAAAAAGGGTGCCATTTCAAATCTTTTTTGGAGGGCGCTCCCTCCAAAGAACAGAAAACTCAAGGTATTTAGGGTTCACTCTAGACACAAAACTACAACTGTGGAAGAGATAACGAACAAAGCCAGTTCAAAGCTCAGTATTGTAAAAAGACTGGCGAGCACTGAATGGGGGGCCTCGGCTGGCACCCTAAGAGGCTTATTTCTAGGTGCAGTCAGATTAGTGATTGACTACAGCATGCCCATCCTAGGCATAGCAAGTGACACGGCACTTGACAAGGTAAATCTAATCCAAAACCATGGATCAAGGCTAATATGTGGCACATTCAAAAGCTCTCCCATTTCAGCTGGACAGATCCTGGCAACCTAGAACCACTGAAAATAAAAGACAGAGCTATGCTAATGGCCTATGAAAGATTCCTAAGGCTTGACGGAGACGATCCATTACATGAAATGTTACAAGTCCCTACAAAGCAAAGGATACAAAAGGAGTTTTTTCTTAGTCTCTGTGAATTTCTAAAGAAAAATATAAAATTGCCCAGCAAAAGAGGCAAAATAAGATCAGCCACTAAACTAAGACCTGATACCAGGGTAGTCCCCAAAATATGGGAAGCAGTCCCACAGGACAACAACCTCAGTGAGGGCCACATCATAGTCCAATAAAAAGTATCCAAATCTTCATTGATTGGACAAGAAACGAAGAAAGAGCTGGTTACGGAATACACATGTCCTTGCCGGATGGAAATACTATTGAAGCATCTAGTCGATGCAGAATGCTCTATTGCAGCGGTTCTCAACCTGTGGGTCGCGACCCCTTTCGGGGTCGCGGGACCCTTTTCCAGGGGTCGTCTAGGACCATCTGAAAACATATATCCTTACAGCTATGAAGTAGCAATGAAAATAATTGTGTGGCTGGGGGGTCGCCACGACACAAAATGTAACAGTCTACACAGACTGTTTAGGCTTAATAAATGGCATCAAAAACCAAGCCAATTAAAGTCAAGATTGCCCAAATACTAAACTCAACTTAATAGAGAAACTTAAATCCACACATGGATCAGTTGTCTATTTATGTTGGCTTCCTCTCGATCTAGCAGACGAGCTAGCAAAGCTAGGCTCGGATGAGCCAATGCTATACAAAAAAGTATCCTGGGAAGGGTACAAAATCATCCTCAGATAGTATTTCAGGAAACAGTGGTTCATCGAATGGCAAAATGGAGAGTGTGGCAGGAAAGGCTGGGAAAACTTAAAAAGCCCAAGTCCAAAAGACACTAACCAGACAAAATCAAATAATAATTGCCCAAGCCAGAATGGGCCACTTTCCCACAAAAGGCATTTTCACTGGGTGTACAGAAGTGCTAGTCCGACCTGCGGGCATTGCAGCAAAGAAATAGAAAGCTCACTCACCTGGTTAAATGCAAGAGTCTAATGACTGAGAGAAGGAGACTACTAGGAGCCGAATAATACTGTACAGCTCCGTAGTAGAGCTAACAAATAGTGAAGACTATCTCAGAGAAGCTCTAAAGGATACGTATGGTATAGAATTTTTAAAAAAGAACATTTTTGCTGGAATAAAGCTGGTCCACATAGAAAAGAGAAGATAAAGCCAAAAGGAGAGCTGGAGCTGGAGCTGGAAAGAATGCGGTAGCTGAAGAAAAAAAAAACTGTTGGCGCTCGTCTAGGCGGTGAAAACCGGGGCAACTTTTGAACAAGCACACACCAAACTACGTGGGGTGGAAGTGCTTCTAGACAAACATCACAATTCCGGGGCTAGCCTAGGAATAAGGGCTCTGAAAAAGTGGGAAATGGGACCTCTGTCTCAAAACTTACAAGTGAGGAGTGCTCTCCGCAAAGCTCTAAAAGCCTGAGGGTCGGCCATATGAGCAGGAATGCTCGGAGCTGCTGTGTCGGTCAAGTCAAGGTGCCAGCGAAAGAGTTAATATTCTAATTCCCCAACCGCTTTTACACTGCAGATTTATTACACCAACTATTTCAGAGAATCAAAAGAAAATATGCACCAAATGCACTTGGGACATTTTTTGTAAAGAATCTCACTTAGCACAGTTATCGGGCATTTTATTTCGTGAAATGAGTGGCATCATATTTCCTTCATCTTATACTTGAAAAACTGATTTTTGGAGGTTGGGGGTGGAACAGAAAATTTGATAGAATGTTTCGTCATCAGCAAAGAAACTTACGAACAAAATCAAAGTTAATTTATAAAGTATTTTAAAAGTTTTTGCTGCTTCATTTGCTGCTGCAATTCTAGGTCACGTCTGAAGAAATAACAAAATACAAAAGACAGTTCAAAGTGGCAGATTGGGAACATATATATTATTTTAAATATGTATGACCATATTACTTAAAATATGCATTATCATTTTTACTTTAAATAAGAATGAACATATTGCTATTACTTGTCTCAAAATTTCAGGAAGCTCAACAGACTCATGTCTATTGGGTAAGCTTTTACCTAACTTTTTAATTTCTTATTTTTACCACTAATTTTGTATGTGCTAAATAACTGAAATGTATTAAATTGTGATTATTTCTTGTTTTTTTATTGCAATATATAAGTGGAGGTTCTGTGTGTCACCAATACCACACAATTCATTTAAATGTTATATTTGCTTGTTATTTATTAGTGGAGATACTGTGTTATTTATTTGCTTGTTATTTATTAGTGGAGATACTGTGTTATTTTTTTTTTTGATTGTTATCTTTTAGTGGAGATACTGTGTGAGACTAGAAAACAAGGGACTAGAGACTGTTCAACTCAGAGAAAGACACTGGAGGATTTTTAGCCTGTCTGGGACTTTAGAAACCGTCAGAGGAAGGGGTGTAGTTGGACAAGTAGGCAACATATACTTTTTAATCACAGTAGACATTATATTTTTCCTTCAATTGAACTATTCACCTATTTCTATTTTAAATGCTTCACACTTTTATAAAGTTTCAAATTATGTTTTTATATTCCCAGAATATAAACTTTGTTCATTAAAAAGTTATATTGCTATTGTAGTTGTAGAAATGTTATTGTCGTTGGCTATCACCAACCAGTTGTTCATGTCTGGATGTTGATTCGGGCTGACTTCTGCAAGACCGCTAGGGAATTTTATTTTTCTTATGATACTATTGCTAGTAGTAGTTAGCTGGTTAACATTTAGGAATTGATTGAGCTAATTCTGCTAATCCATCAATATTGAACTAATACTTTACTTTGCGCTAAAACTTTTCAGGAACCAGTGCTTTCTCCAGAACAGCCAGCCTTCCAATATTCTAGCCATGTATCGTTACAAGCACCAAGTGGACATATGTGGTAGGCAGATGTTTCAGTTAGCCATTATACCCAATAGTTTTATAGCCTACTTGTTCAATGTACACAAATATTTATATTGCAGAGATTTAATATCATTGTCAAATATTCAAGATGCTTCTGTTTCTTTTTAACATCACTGGTATGAATAGTACGAGAAATATGTATAATAATCCTCCTCATTAATGAGACATTAGACCATTCTCTTGGTGTTCATCCTAGGGGAACTTACAAAATGGAGAGAAGAGATGGCACCAGTTTTGACTGCAAGATTCCTCCCTTTTCACTTGAAAGCAAGTCTGATGATAACAATAATCCCCATCAGTTCCTTGGAAGCTAGTGCCCTATGGTCGATTATGTTTTTATGCTTGGTTGGCTCACAAATTCCAACAGACTATTTCAAATATCTTCATGAATTTTTTTTTTTATTTATAGATATCAAATAAATTAATACCGTAACTATTTGTAGACTTTCTTTCTTTTCAGTGTCCTGTACGTAGACTTTCTTTTCAGTGTTCTGAACAATATCACTACTAATTAATCAAACACATATAATTAGGTAATCAGAATAGTAGTTTACTTGTTTTTGTTAAATTACAAATTTGAATGTTGAGAACATCAAAGCACACAAATGTACAATGATGTGCAAAAAGCAAACTCCAAAAGTTAACAATTGTACAATGAGTAGACATGATGATGTTCACAAAACAAAGACCCATAGTTGACTTCTGTACAACCAGTTAACATGTGCACAAAAATGTGATAACAGGCAGCAATCAATTTGCAAGTGTACATTTAAATAATGGCACCTGGTTTCATGTCAATCAAAGATTTATTTCATCATGTTATTTCCTTTCTCATCCAGTCTCCAGCAAATAAATTGCATGGTTAACACATTGCTGATTGAATTGAACACCTTAAATTTGACACCTTTACCACAAACACTTGGGGAAAATGTTTAAATCTGACCTGCACTTTATATCTTTTGCAATGTAGTATCAGTGATTCTCAAGTCAGTACCCTTTAATTTAAATTTAAAACTGGCAAAACAAAAGACATAAAATTTCTTCTTGTATTTATAAAAAAAGAACAAAATCAACAATATCATGTCCACTATGGACAACTTCCATATTGCAAATATGTACATACATCACATATGGTACAAATGGGTTGTTTTACATATGGAAACATTTCAGTTTAGGTCACATTCCAACTATGGTAGTTCATACTTTCAGTTCATCTATCAGATTCATCTCAATATACAATTTCAAAGTTTAGGATATTTTACTTATCCAGACAATGAATCCAACTGACATTTATTATACCGGTACTTAAAACAAACTTTTGTCCATTTTTTTTTTTAAACTTTAAAAAATCCTTTTCTTTGATCAGCATTATCATGCGTGGATGTTCACAAAATAGTGGAGAATGCATTTAATAAAAATAAAACATTTCATGAATGGGTTATAGTGAGCAGACCAATTTTGTTTGTTCAAGATAAACATTTTCCACTAGTTGTATTTATTGAGCAATTTGAATGATGTCCTTCACTACCTCCAGAAACATCGCATTAATATGTGGGACCAAGTAGAAAACTAACACAACCCCAAATAATTAAGTTGCTGGTGTAAAAGTCAAAGTTTTTTGTTTTGTTACTTTTAAAAAGGCATTAGCTAAGAAGAACCAATATTTAATATGATGATGAGTTGCTTTATCTCTCTAATTTAAATAAAAAAAATTTGTAATGTACAGGAAATGGAAGAAGATTTTAAAGGGGACAAGAATTAAGGAAATATTTTATTAGATCATGTGACTTCAATTTACTTCCACTAAATTATCTTTTTATAAGATAGTTAACATATTTCTGGAGGACATGGGGAAAGCCACCGATGGTGAATATTAATGAAAGAAACCTGGCAAAGCGTGTCCACAAGACCTCGTCGTCGTCCTACGGCTACGGCGTGCTAACCACTGCCCAAAAGACAAGACTGACCACCATGGCAGGCATCACCACTGAAATTAAGGTCGGGGAGGAAAGACTAGAGACTGCAGGCCGCTTCAAATACCTAGGAGCAATCGTCTCAGAAGAAGGCTCCAAGCCCGAACTGATGTCCAGGATTGCGCAGACTACAACAGCACTAAAGAGGCTCAAGAAAATATGGAATGACAAAAATATAGCCCCCAGCACCAAAATCAGGCTGATGCGCTCATTAGTCCTCTCCATTTTCTTGTATGCCTGCGAATCCTGGACATTAACAGCAGATCTTGAAAAGAAAAAAGAAGGCGATGAAAATGACATGCTTCAGAAGCATTTTTGGCATCTGCTATATGGACCATATCTCCAATGATACAGTGAAAGAAAGGGTTCGCCGGGCAATTGGGGAGTACGATGACCTACTGGTGACTGTGAAAAAAACGCAAACTACAATGGTACGGCCACGTAACAAGGAAACAAGGGCTTGCCAAAGAAATATTGCAGGGCACCACAAGAGGAGGGAGAAGAAGAGGAAGACAAAGAAAAAGGTGGGAGGATAACATCAAAGAGTGGACAGGACTAACACTGGGCGATGCTGTGCGTAGTGCAGAAGACAGAGACGAATGGAGGAGGACAGTTCACTTGTCATCTGTGGCACCCCAATGGTCCAAAGACTAAGGGACATGATGATATGAATTATTGAAAAATAAATTCAGCCTTATATGATCAGAGATTTACAGCAATGATTGGTCAGTCTTCAATAACAGATAAAGAATTATTTTTCAATTTAGCTATTTTTTGCACAAACACATCAAAATGGCAATAGTGACAATCCAAAAAAATTAACATACAAATGTTTTAAAAATTCAAAAGGAATGATGCTAAATGTCATGTTAGGAGCCTATCTTCTGTTTCTTGGCACTAGGTTCATCAGATGAAGATTCTCTCTCAAGCTCAGGTGGACTTGTAGAATCTGTAATGTAATTATCAACATATTACACAGGTGGACTTGCAGAATATGTGTGTGCTTAATCACATGTTAAAACAGGAAGAATTGTGAAACATATTCAAGTATCGATACCGAATATAATGTCAATGAGAAAAGCCACAATTGGATTGAATATATAAAATAAAACAAACAAAGCACAACAGACACTAACCATTCGTCTCTTCTGCTTTCGTATTACTTTTTGCCTTCGCAGCTTCTTCTTCTTCCCGAACCATGCTCAATGCTAAAGAGAAATAAACCCCAAAAAATTATTTTAATAGTACATTTTTTTATATGAAACTTTTCACCCCTTAAAAAAATACAGGAGTTTCCCCCTCATCAAAATGTGAATTGGTAAAGTGTATATCAAGTAATTTTTAAAACAAGTACAGTTGACCCTCCATATCCGTCAGGTTTTACACAGGAATGAACTAAGTATGCATCACTAGTTATTAATGCTTTCTCATTATGACAGAATTGACTTATTATGAAGCTTTAATGATACTCTACTGTAGCCCTGCATAAATATGTCAATAAAATATAGTTCCCTTCATTGGAGAAACCCCTCCTCCCCACCTCCCAAACTCAAGCAAACAAATCATAAATAAGGACTAGACTTTCAAGTTAACCAAAAAATTAATACCTGGGAAATCTACAATTAAATACAAAAAACAAACAAAAATTCTGGTGACATGAACACTGTGGTGACATGAGCACTGGTCCCACGAACACTGTGGTCACATGAACACTGTGGTCACATGAACACCATGGTGACATGAACACTCTGGTCACATGAACACCATGGTGACATGAACACTGTGGTCACATGAACAGCATGGTGACATAATTCTTTAAAAAATAGCTTTAAAAAAACTCATAAATGTTAAAAATAAATAAAGTAGTACTTTGAATCACTGCCTGAGACTGGTTGGGTCACAAATATCGAATTTTCTGGCGAATATCAAACAAAAATGTCTTTTTGAAAAACAAGTCGACTATCAAAAAGATAAATATGGACTTGGGTGTTTAATGAGGACCCCCTGTATTTGGCTGAGTATTGAGCAAACACTTGTGCAGCTTCACTTAGATAAAAAAAATGTGTATAGATAAATTGTGATTTATTGACAATCCCTATATTTTAACAAGAATTGTAAAAAAAAGTTTTATAATTTATACACACCATTATCTTCTACAAGTTGTATTTTAAAAACAAAATGTATTATTTTCTTAAAAGCCTATCACCGCATGAGACCCTACCAAAGGTATAGACTATGAGACTTTGAATATATCAGTAAACTGTGACTGAAACTGATTAAACTCAAACTGAATAATGAACCCAATTTATGTCTCACCAACTCGCATCTGTGGGTCAGCATCATTACTGTCATGGGAGTACTCATTGTTGTCATTATGTTCACTGTGCTCACTGTTTTCAGGAAAGGACATATTGGAATCATCATTGAGATTCTCAGAGCCAAAAGAACCAATCGACTGTTGGGTAGACTCTTCTGTGTACACAACAGTGCCTGGAAGGAGAGTGAAGCCATAAGCATGTTAAGTTCATGTGTCTTTTGAAAAGCTTCCACAAAGATGAAGTAATTATTTTCTATTTTTTTATAAAGAGGGGATATGCCTTTTTTGAAAATTCATAACAGGTTAAACTTAAACTATCACGATTTTTAATCCTGGAGTGTACTCCAAAAAAAACAATAATTAGCTTCTGGCCTTTTGTAAAAAAAAACCTGTTCTTATACCTTTGTTATTTAAAGCTAATTGCTAACAAACCTTGGCTATTTGTAACAACTCCTTTTTGATTTCTCTTATGTCCTGCACTATGTTGATTCCCATGGTGATGAATTTTAGAGGATGGGCTGCTGGCAGTGGAAATGTTGGTGTTGCTGTTGGATGGGGACATTGATCGGAGATGGGCATCTGCTTCAGCTGTACATAAATGTAAATGCTAAATCATTTCTCTTCTCTTGTCATATTGTGAGACAATACATGCCTTAAGAACTCAAGGTTTCTCCACAGGACCACTGTACACAGATCAAAATAAATCTATGACTGATTTTTTTAGAACATACACCAATGTTGCTACAAGACCACGTAATCCTTACTTACCACTGTAAAGTTACCACTGTAAGCATTTCAAATAAATCTATGACAGATCATTTATTTAGACCATAGATCAATGCTGCCACAAGACCATGTAACCTCTACTCACCAGTGTAAAGTTCCCTTTCTCTTTCAACCCTTGCTTTAGAATATGTCTTAGTCTTTACACCTGGAATCTTTCGAAGTGCCTAAAAAATATTATTAATATTAGTGTACAAAAACCAAAATTTTCTCAAAGTATTATTATATGTGGTTTTATATAGCGTGGTAGCCCAGCCTAGGGCTAGGCTCACCACGCTCTACATTCAATTTAACAAACATAATCAAAACTTTAACAATTAATTGACATAAATTAATTAAATAAAACAAAACAAATGTATATTTAAAACTATTTACAAGATGTAAAAAAAACACTTAATTTACCAACAGGAAATATTGCCCGCAAAATTTTTTTAAAAATTAATAAATGAAAGCATCTCTACAATTTTAAAATTAATGCTCATTGTAGTAGGAAAAAAGTGTCATCATATAATAAAGTTTTTTAAAGAAATTATCAGACTCACTCCAGGATTTTCCTGTGCTGTTATGGGAACCCATTTCAGGACTGTGACCGATGTGTCTCCTATAGTAACCCATTTCTTTTCCCTAAATGGATTGTGGGGGGAAAAAGTTGAATTGCTGCAGTTTAAAAATCATAGCAAACAAACCTAATAAATTAAAGCTTCAAAAAAAAAAATTAAGTTTATGGCTAATCTTTTAACATTAATAATTTGTTTCAAGCTAACTTTAACTTACTGCAGTACTTTTAACATTTTGGTAATGCTAGGTCCATTATACAGTAGGCATACAGAAGGCCTACTTGAGGAATTAAACCCTGTTTCTCTACTCCTCCTCCCCCCCCCCATAACAGAGAAGGGGCACCACAGAACTAATATAAATAAAATGTTAAAGTGGGCAACATACAACAAACAAAAAAGTTCAACCCTGCATTAATGCCCAATACATGTTAAACTATCAGGTAAGAATAGCGAAATACTATCTGGTAAGAATATTTTGTTTTCCTTAATGCAACATCTCTGTCGCAGTGTTCACTTATCTGAAAAATTTGATAAATTGATACAACTTTATTTAGAGAATACTTAGGTCTAGCTAGTCTAAGCTAGGCCTAAATTTTTAAAAATGGTATGGTTCTGCCTAAGACAACATAGCCACAGCCTAGGATTTTACATTTTAAAAGTAAATATAGGCCTAGTAAGTAGCCTCTGTATACTGTATATAAAACCTGTATTATATAAATGATATGTAAATGTAATGCTACCCTTATACTTATACCCTATAGTTGTATAGAGTATAGAGTATAGAGCATAGCTGTTATTGTTATGAATATTAATAATAATATTATTATTATGGACCCCTTACTTACTTGTTAGTAGGGCCTATGAATCAAGGCTAAGGCCCAAGGCCATGGATGGTGAATAGTGTGAGAATATATGAATGAGTTGTATTTTATTATTTTTTTATAAGCTCTATAGTAGCTTACAGTTACAGGTAAAAGTTAAAAGTAAAAGATATAGAATATAGTAATTGAGTAAAAGAAACTGAAAAGTTTAAAAAATGACTCTAAAAGAGGAAATATTAGCAGAAAAAGTATAGTGTAGTAGTAGGCCTAGTTCCTCTAGATCTAAGTCTAGGTAGTCCATTTATAAAAAGTAAATGTATTCCCAATTACAACAATGTTGGCTAAATATAAACACGCGCACGTGTTGCCCTCAATACACCAGAGCGCGCAGTCCGCTAACCTGTTTGTAAACATTGATTAAGTACTAATGTTTGGAATAGACGGTGAAAAAAAAGTTAATAAAAATGGTAACGACAAAGTGGAGCAAATCAGAGGCACTAACAAAGAAACAAAATGGCCTTACCATTTTCTAACTCTATCGATCGCATTTATAACTCGTTTAATGTCCTCCTTTGCCCGACTGCGAGTTTCGGCTCTTCCTGACCGAGACAGCATGGCGAAAAGTTTCTTTTGTAGTCGTAATCAACGTACAGTGGAGCCTTGGAAAAGCCTAACCCCAGACGCCGACAGATCTAACAGCAGATATAAATAGATTTTTTGCCGGATTATGGCACTGATGCCCGGATGAGTCATGTGGACACGAGCCCTGAATGTCACGTGATTTTACGCAGTGTGTATATGAAACGACACGGCATAGAACCTCTAGCGCTGGAGTCTCAGCATTTCCCCTCTTTATCGTTAGTTATGCTTGCGGTACAATCGAATAATGTGTAACTGGTGTAAAAGCTAGGACTCGCTGAGCAGACGAAAGGGAGAGGTTGGCTGTAACGCACCGTAGTGATGTGTCCAGGCTAATCGATCCCACAACAAAATCTGAAAATGGCAAGAGTGGCCGGGCTTTAGAACCACTGTAAATATATAATAATTTTGTTTTAAAGGATGGGGG